AGCATTTACAGTGAAATTTGCATCTGCATTATTAATTGGAAATAGGAGGATATTTCTCAGAAAATTTCGGAAAAATAAATAATAAATTTTTGTGTGCAACGAAAAACCGATACAAGCAAGTATAACGAGGAAATGATAATAAGATTATGCATTAAAAGTTTTTATATCAAGTAAGCACCTAATACGCTATCTAACAAGACTGTTTGCTTTTAATTATTCCTTGTAATTGTTGAGTTATGCAATTTTTTGTGAGGCAATTTTTTTCGTCACACACTGTACTATTGAATGCTCGTATTAATATTATAGGAGAGAATTCCGTCTGAAGTTGAAGGAATGTCACAATTTGCCGATGAGCATTATGAGAAAGTCACTATGTTGAGTGCTGTAGCAATAATATAATTGAGCAATCAACTTTCTGTAGACAAATCCAAGAATAACAAGATTACCTCATCCTACGGAACTAAATTCTTCTTAATGTATTGGTTGTGGTTTTATTAAAAATGAAGAAACAGCCGACGTACAAACAGTTGATAAACGAGGTGACAAACATTGGGAGAAGAAACAAATAAATATCAAAAGCAATGAACTTGAGCATGTGACTATCGACAAGAATGGATGCCGCACAATACATATGTCGGAATATTATTGGTTCAAGAATCTAGCCGTTCTCTCAAAGACTTCATCTTTTACGATCAAGACATTCTCTTCGTTACTTTTCAAGTGATCGAGAATTAATGGGCGATAGTTCGATAAGACAAACACGGAGCTACTACCGCCGAAGGTGACACCTATTATTATTCACGGTCAATTTGTTAATAATCAATCACAACATACATTTTGCGTTCAAGTATACATAAATCAAAGCATACCTCCTTCGGTGCCAACCCGATTGCAAGCAACGAATATTATCGATCGCCTTATTTTTTGAGACGTCTCGGGTATGCTATTATTAGCCCAAGCATCATTATATATTGGCAATAACCTCATGCACCAGTAATTGCAAACCTCCATGACGTCGTCATCCTGGACATTGTCGTCTTCACCATTTGAATCATGACCGCTTCCAGAACTAGGATCGCTTTGATCACTATCATTTTCACTCGCATCCTTCCCTAACCACGCCATTGAGCATAGTATTATGCTTGACTGTTGTTCGCGATGAAAATTCGCAAACTCAAAATCAGTGAAAGGCGCTTCAAAACGATAAGGGTTTAAGTCCATACAGATGCCCAAACCAACCTAGTGTAGAGACACATGAGTATTTTTTGCTAGTGCGTCGTAATGAGGGACGATGCCATGCCAACTGCGTAGACGGACTTACTTTTCCGAGGTCTGGTACATCAATCGACATGAAACCTGGACCTTCCTCTGCCCAAGCCTCGTCGGTTTCGTATAAAAAGTGTTTCTGATATGTTGCAAGAATTTCGGTAGATGGGGCAACGAAGCATGCGCTATTGTAGTACTTGTCAGGATTACCTGTTCGTTTTGTCACGCAAACAATCAGAATTATACATAATCGTGACCTTGAGACTATTACATTGCTTACCTTTGACTATTTGGGGATAGCCAACCATCACATAAGCATTTAGGCGTGCGGCTTGATATATAAAACGAATAATGACGAGTAAGGCAAGATGTTTAGTGTTCGGTTGCTTTGCGAGGGTGAAGTACCTTGTTGTTTTGCCCATCGGACAGTGGTTCCTGTTTCTGCATCTTCCAGATAGGGTTTGATGTGGTCTTTGCTTTTGAATCTATAGCCTTTGAGAAAGAATGGGGACATTTATATCAGTAATGTATTTAGCAGTAATGTCAATAAACCACACATTACCTGAAAATGCCATTTCAGGCAAGACAAGTATGTCTATATCATCCGGAGTAAATCTTGGAATATTGATGTGGGTTGTTAGCTTGTGGCAGCGAGAAGCAGATTCTTCCTTTCTTTCCGTCCACGTGACTATATATACTCGCCATACTTGTTTACTGAACTGATTACCTTTCCAACATCCGAGTAGCATTCTGTTGATTTCTCTCAACTTCGCCAAAAAGTGGATTAAACTGAAGGCATGCTACAGATCAGAGGGTTACCATGCTGATTAAGAAGGACCAACGAACTGATAGACGATATGTTTTACCGATCTTCATCGTCAAAATTGTTTGAGTTCGTTGGGCAATACTAGCTTTATATATTTCGCGGATTGTTTGACAACTCGTGGGAAAGCAGATTAGGTATGTTGCAAATCTCATCCCTATAATTTATGTACAACTATTGGTCTCATGACGCCATCAGGGGACAATATGACATAAAAGTTATTTTGCCGTTGGTTGTAATCCGCCGCAATAGGATATGCAACGGTGATAAAAGAAGGTTTAATACGCCAATGAAAGAATTTATATCGTTGTGCGTAACTTGATAATTGTAGAATCGCTACTCAATGGGTAAATTATTAGTAAGTCCGAATAGATCACAATATCTCTGTGAATTTTCGATTCAGGATCAGATTTCGTGTTTCTGCGCGGTTTGTTTATAAGACAATCCTCCGACATTGCGATAAAACCGTCAGGTTTAATGACTGGGTAAGCATGTATAAGAACAATTACTATTGACTTGAAAAAGAATCATGGATTGCGAAAATAAACACAAGCTCTTGGTCGAAATGGAGGTTTACAATTGCTGCGTTATCATAATGCTAACATCTGTTTATGCAGAGGAATAACGATTCTTTATAATATTATCAGTGTCAAGTATTATTTATTTGAATATTTACACCGGAATTTGAAGTCGTAGTCGAACTGCAAAAGGCTATAATACAAGCGAATCAATCTCTTAACAAATTGGAATGAAATTATGGCAACTCATGGTTATTTTTCAAGTTCAGCCTTTTATTATCAAGTCATAATATATAAATATTAGTATGTAATGATATGCCTTTTTTCTTCCAGCCTGATTATTCAGTCTGCAATTAGAATTGGCAAGTTTACCTAATTATATTGTGGAAATGTTAAATGAGCCACAAGATAAATAAAGCAAATTCGTTATGTCTCGTTATATAGCAAAAACTGCAAGTTGAAATTCATAAATAGCATTATTATATAAAATGTCGAACATTTGGCAATAATAATTTACAAGTTTATACCATAATAACCTTATATATACAATACAACCGCCACGAGAATGGTAATTTTCTCGCAAGTTTGTTCCGTACTTTGCTACTCATTGGCGCAGCTCGCCACCTGTGCTTCCCTGAATATCTTTGGCCTGCTCATTCCTCAAAGTGTGCGCAATTACAATAGTAAACGCCGGCAAAACTAGAAATTTTGTTAAAACCAAGCTTTAGGGAATGAATGCTACTATCAAAAAAAGATATAGCAACCGTTTGGTATTTTTTGGTACGCGCATAAGAATTCGTAAGTGGGAAGAGCGTCATATTCAAAATCGAGGTAAGTCGAATATAGTTAAAGGAAAGCTCCAGGAGAATGGTTACCATTATCTAGTAATGGCAAAATAGAGCCTGTGGGACAGTCATCAAGTACTAGTAAACAAAAAGCTGTACGAAGGCACGGATGTTTGGGTTACCATCGGATTCACATGGAAAACGAATCATTGATACTTTTTTATTTTTCATGAGGTGTCAGTTTGGGCCAGAAGGTATAGATAATCTGCATGACTCGTTCGCATTGCCAAAGGAAACTATTCGCATGGCGTAATATATTCGTCTAAATCGCCGAATTAGAAAGTATATTTTGCCTATCTAATAGCCACATTATCTCCGACCAATTAGATAATTGCTACTGTATAATTCGTCTCGCTTGTATTATGTCCTTGAAATGACTTGCTTTGCTTTGTTACTGCTTCTCTAGTCTACACCTCTCTCTTGTGCTTTCGCCTATTTTGGATGCCATTTGCTGAGTACTAGATTTAATAAACAAAATACGTATTATAATTATGTGAAACTATACAGTATGTACTCATTGGGCATCTCTCAAGAGCGACAATCCACCTGAAACGCTTCAAACTCTCCGCACGCTTGGAGAAGAGGCCTGGTAAAGCGCACAAGTTTTTGGTAATGGCACATAGTTTTGAATAACATAGTAACATCTGTAGATCGTGTGGGCAAGAACTTCAGATGACCTCCGAAGGAAAGCATCGCTGACGTTGAAATCGGGTTTAACAATAGCGCACTTTGACAGAGGCGAGTTTGCAGGACATGACGTGTGTGGAGGTGACGATATACGACCAGAAGGTAGTAGAAGATATAGCGATGATCAATTGACGCATTCTAAAAAAAAACGTCTTTTGCCGTTCAATTCCCAGCTGATCAAGTACGTCTTCCATGTAGTAAGCCGGAAAAGATGGTGGTGACTGCTAATAATGATAGCGATTATTATAAGGTTTGAATACGTTCCTTATCTGTAGGCCAATTTGGGTAAATTTGAGAACATGTACTTGGTATTGATACACTAATACAATAATAGGATGTATTAATATGTGTAATAACAAGATTTCCAAAAAGTTTTGTTTAAAGCTTGCCATAGTTTGTGACTAAAATAGAATGAATCGGCAAGAGAGCAAGTAAGATAAACTCTGATAAATAATATGAACTCAAAAGACATCCAGCCTACCCCGATTGTGTAATAAAAGGGCTAATAAGAAAAACATATTCTCTCTCGCAAAACTGGTATTGATCGCGAATAACAGTATAAGGTTTTTATGGTTGCCCAATATTTGTCAGTTTAATTGTCTTGTATTGGCTTGGCTTGAACGCTGACACATAATTCGATCGTATGACTAAACATGAGATAATCCACTACAAACACTAATTGGTAACATTTTAATATCACCACGATTAAGCTTGATCTCTCCTCTCAGCAATGTCTGTCCAACATCCTGAATGCCCGAGGTAAATAACTCTTGTGACATTGAATTTTATTTTAACATGCAGGTTTGAGTGCGTTGTTTTACCTCGTCTCCCACTCATCCATATTAATATGTCAAGTTAATAACTACGGTGATACTGTCATTGGACGGCTTGAAACATCGGAAACTACTGGCATTTTCCACGTGCTTGCACGTTTACTAATCCATTTACTAACATTCCTACCTCAATTATAGCTGCTGAATTTGCGAGCAAAGAAAAGCGCGAGTGACGACTCAAGGACGGAACGTGATCGAGTGTAGGATAGGCTTTGGATTCAATTATACTTCATGTGAAACTCAACTTTCTTAGTCAAGTAACTAAATTCCCAATCAGAGAGTCGGATCTTGCAGTATGCAAACGATATTAAGATTGTTTCATTTTGGATATTTTGAAACTCCAGGGTCCCAAAACCTCCCACCTTGTTCCGTGTTTCTTCTTTATCTAAGCTCTCGTACGATATAGAGGGAATGACGGGGTGACAATAAACATGAACGAGTAACGATGATGGTTGTCTTGGACTTGGGTATCTAATGGTTGTGTGTTACATTGAAATCAAGTAAATTACAACCTAATAAATGATGTCCAAACATTGATTTTGACCCAATTACGAACATCTGTGCGGGTTATTCAGACCAATTATAATTACGCTCATGCACCACACAAACCTCAAAATGCCACCCCCCACCACCACCCCCCTTCGAGGTTAAAACCAGAAACTCCTTAGGTTACCCGAATAAACCTTTTACAGTCTTCCTTCTCCTTATTAACCTTCCTTCTTCCACACTCGTTGCTATTAACCACTTTTATCACTATTCGACTAACTACCTACTACTAAACATTACAAAATGCAAGCGATTAAATGTGTTGTTGTTGGCGACGGGTAAGTCATGATGCAATAATAAAAAGAAAAGGGCATGGGAAAAGACGAACGAGTAGGTGATGGAGGGTCAAGAAGTGAACCAATTCCGTATTTTTACGGTATAGCGGGCAAGCAATATTTTCAAGGAGAGGATGCAATGTGGTCGTCTATAGGAAATATGCTGATTGATAGAATCCGCAATAAAGCGACTGACGAGTTATGAAGCCGCGAGAAATATGTAGTAGGAGGTCTTAATAGTCGTCAAAGCAAAGTGCTTGATAGAGTGTATAAATATAATGTTTGCAGAGAGTCTATAGGATAAACATTGGATGCCAGGAGAATATGATTGTGCACATATAACGTAAATTAATATGAGAAGAGAATTGTCATGAATATGTTCGCGGTAGAGACGACAATTTTAGAGAATACTAAATACACTGGAAAGTCGCAAAGCCAATTAAGTAACGGAAGATCTTTACCCTCTATTTTCTCACAGTGCTGTCGGCAAGACTTGTCTTTTGATCAGTTATACTACCAATGCTTTCCCCGGCGAATACATTCCCACTGTGTAAGTATGCATTATTTTGCAAGGAATACCATGATTTAATAACGAAAACGAATGCAAGAGAAACTCTTTGAGCGACAGCTTGGTGCTTTCGTATGAACCTTTTTAATTTACGTTCTGAACCAAATTTTTTATTATATTGTTGCGTTAATATACGTTTAAAAGTCAATCAAGCTTTATCTTCCGTTCTCGTTTTTCTTCAAAGCTCTTTTATCGCACAATTTAATTAACCCTTTTTTTTTTTTACTTTATGGATTAATTAATTAGTTTTGACAATTATTCTGCCAACGTTATGGTAGATGGTAAACCGATCAATCTCGGTCTGTGGGATACTGCTGGTCAAGAAGACTACGACCGTTTGCGTCCGTTGTCATATCCGCAGACCGATGTCTTTCTTATTTGCTTTTCTTTAGTAAGCCCACCTTCGTTCGAGAACGTCAGAGGCAAGGTGAGTGGTTGAGTACGTGGCGTAGTAGAGAAATGCAATGGGATTGGCAGTGTCCAGTTACATAATGTGATAGTCATTTAGTATTGTTGCGTTGTTGTTGCTCAATAGCATCGATTAACTAATTGTTCCCTTTACCAACAAAAAACAGTGGTATCCCGAAATTACCCATCATGCTCCAAACATTCCAATTATTCTCGTGGGCACAAAGCTTGATTTGCGAGAGGATAAAGAAACAATTCTCAAACTCCGCGCCAAGGCCCAAAGTCCCATTACATACCCTCAGGGACTCCAGATGGCCAAAGACATTGCTGCCGTTCGCTATCTCGAATGCTCTGCTCTTACTCAAAAGGGTCTCAAGAATGTTTTCGATGAAGCCATTCGTGCTGTCCTCTGTCCCGCACCCGCACCAAGGCGAAGCAGAAAATGTTCGATTTTGTGAAGTGGCAATTTATTCAATGAGGATTCGAGAGAGCTGTAATTGATTTTGGGATTGATTTTTTGGGGGTATATCGTTTGTATAGTTTATATACACGTAGTCTAGAGTGGCTAATTAGGTGCTCTTTTTCGGTTCCTTTTGGCCCCGGATTTTTTTTATTATATCATATTTGTCCATTTATCATTCTTTACAAAAAAATATATATGCATATAGTTGGTTACACATTGAATATAGCATTTCATGTTCACTGAGTGATCATAGAACTAATAAAGAAGAACTTGTAGTCGCATCAGTAATAAAGAAAAAAAAAAGCAAAGGAAGAAAAGAACCAAAAAAAAAACGTTAAAAGAAAAAAGCAATTTCTTTGTTTTATTTTCAATAAACTGCGTTTCATTGCCGGGGGGATTACCTGTGTAATTGTGCTTTATTCATCGTGTTGTAACGTGTATACTCACGTGATCAACGTTAATTGATTCACATGACTTTGGCCAAAAATTTTCATACTAATATCCCTACATATCAACACCCTCTTTTTCCCTTCTCGTTCAATATTTGTAGGATCCCTCATCCTAAACCACATTGGATGTGAGTTTTCCATCCATATCTGCCTCATTCGCGCCATTCTTCCACGTAAACTATATAAGCTACCTCTCTACCAGTAGATTACAAAACCAGATGGATGCAATCCTGCAAATTCAACGGATTAGCCGGGCCCATATTTTCGCAATTCGCACAGTTTCACTAAATCAATCTGCTTTTTATTTGAATACCATTTCCTACCTAGTAAACGACCTATCATGGCTGAAAACAAGATAGCGAAACCGGCAGGAATGCCAACCGACGAGCTTGAACATCAACTAGCTCAGGCCTTGTATGATTTGGAGAATAATGTTACAGACTTTAGAAAAGATCTGAAGCCATTGCAATTCAAAGAGGCTAAAGAAGTATGTAGAGAGAGAGGTTGAGAGAGAGAGTGAGAGAGTGAGAGGGAAAAGAGGAAAATGTAATTGAGGAGTGACGACAAGTATGTGAGGACGACGCTAATACTGGATCGTAATTTGTTTTAAAAAGTATGAAATTGGCGGAGGCAAGAAGGCGATAGTTGTCAAAGTCTCTGTTCCAAAATTAAAATTACTCCAAAGAGTTCAGCAACGGTAAACGGATTTTAATTCCCTCGTTCCTCTCGGTCTTGTCTTAAATCGTGTATTTCAAATAATGTAAACTTGTGTTCTTCCGCTTTCCGTTGAATAGGCTCACTCGCGAATTAGAGAAGAAATTTGCGGATCGCCACGTCGTATTCATTGGAGACCGCCGAATCTTGCGCAAGCCAGGTCGTAAATCCCGTGTTAAGCAGGCACGTCCTCGAAGTCGCACATTGACAGCTGTACATGAGAAATGGTTGGAAGATCTCGTATATCCAACTGAGATTGTGGGGCAGAGAACACTTGTGAGAATGGATGGAAGCAGATTGATCAAAGTGTAAGTGTACTACTACTACTACTACTACTGCTGCTGCTGCTGCTGCTGCTGCTGCTGCTGTATGGGAGAAGGGAGAGAGTTGAGCGTAGACATTAAGAAACTCGGAGAGGAGTTGGATAAGACTATCGACATAGTATAATGTCTTTTAGATAAAATGACTAAAATTTTCGGGGGGGGGGTTTTGTTCGTGTAGGTTTCTGGATAATAAGGACTCTACGTCCCTCGAGTATAAACTCGACACGTTTGCAGCTGTTTATAGGAAGATGACAGGAAAAGATGTCTTCTTTGATTTCCGTCAAAGTCAGCTCGAATAAAAATGATATCATTATTCTTTAATGTTGTAAGTAAATGGCGTAGATTTAAATGTTTGTTGTCTATGTACCTTCATATATATATTTGCTCGTTCTTCTATATGTAATAAGTACAATAAAATGCATAGGAAAGGTTAATATACATCAAACTGGACCATTCTCGTCTAGAAGAATATATGATAGTTAAGATCCAGGGAATGATAGATATGTGCCACCATTGTTTATCGGTGAGAAAAGCTATTAGTATATCAAGTGGGTTAGCTGCGTCAAAGAGATGATTTGGTCAATCAAGCTACTTGTGATCAGCTCTTACAAGGGTCGGGGATACTGGGCGAATATTCCCATGACCATTAAGGTCAAAAGATTAAGACTTAAGAGGCTTGACGCTTCGATGACATCCTACGCGAAGCATATGATTTTGTGTTTTGACTTCACCTAATGCATACAGTAAGCTATAGATTAAACTCTTCTCACAGCAGTGGTAGATATCAATTAAGGCTTACTTCAAGTTAAGCACGGCACAGTCTCACCTTCTTTTCAAAGGATTTCTTTAATAGTAGTGTAAAACTATCAGAACTTTGTACTCAATTCTTACAATTTATTATATAACTTAAACCAAAAACTTATTTACTTTCAAAACATGCATCAACAAGATCTCTAGCTTGTTCCAATTTGGCAATTTTGGATAAACTTTCCTGTAGAACGCATCAACGATGTCGGAAGGAATAATTAGAGTCAATGACACAGAGCATTTGAGAAATAAAAGACTTGAAAGGGACTCCGCTAGCCAAAACATTAGACTTACATTATTAAGTCTGTTAACTGTACTGATGATATCGCGATATTTTGTTACAAATTGATCACGCTTTGGCATTTCTGTTTTTGAATTGGAGAAATTGATTAATCCTACTGACATCATATATCCTATGCAGTCTCCAATCGGTACGGTTAAGATACCTTTTTCTAGTAGTTCACTTTCGTCCACACCATTATCGTCCAAACCAGTGAATTCAACGTCCATGGCAGCGGCAGATTGCCTTTTCAATGCTCCTTCCATCAATAGCTTAATCTCCTGTGGAACACGCTTATAACGTTCGGCCAATTTCACTTGGAGATCGTCTACCCTTTTTTTCAATGCTACTTGGTCTTGATAAAGAGCCTCGTCAAACGGTTCATATTCTATTGAATCAATAATCATCTATCATAAAGTTGTCCATTTCTTGAAATATTCCAAGTGCCGCTCACTAACCATCTTCGTTTATGGCTTCTTTGTAATTTATTTTATTGACAATGATGTTCGGCGTTGCTAATTTGAAAGTATTGTCAACCCACTATACAACATCAACAACAATCAGTCCGCATCTATTCGTTCTTATATATTGTAATGCTATGTACAAACCTCCTTCACCAATTTCGTAACTGTCTCCTTTAACTTCGCGTCACAACCTGGTCCTAAGGATTTATTAACTTCTTCCAGGGCTGCTTTGAGTATATTATTTTGAATGTATGGTACATCTTCCTTGGATTCTACTTCGATTTTTGGGATTTGTCGTTCGGAATCCATTGTATTAATATTAGTGTTATGGAGTAGACGCGCGTAAATATCGATATTAATATAGCTTGACGATCGCGCCGATTGTGCTACTAGAAGATCTACCAGCTACAAAACGCGTTCAAAAGCTTCAAGTGAAACGTTTTCCTTACCCAGAGTCAGCTATCATCATATATAACGACAAAAAAAATAATACATTAAAACGACGGGGATAACCTCTTTCTAAATATCCTATTAGAAAACAACCTCGAACAATTAGTACTACGGTCCCCTCGTTCTGGAATCAAAGGTAAAGTATCTTTGCGTCATAATTATGTCTCGCATCTTCAGATCTCGGGAATTAGGGAGGTTTTGAATGAGACGGGAATAGTATTTGGAAATAGCATAACGCTAATATTACTTAAATCTTCACCAGTAATCATGGTGTTTTCATAGTTTATATGATAAGCGTCCGGATATTCTTACCACGGACGTTTGGCTTACCATTGGATTTACGTACTATGCATATGAACAGGAGTAAAGATTGGGTTATGCCTAGCATGTAACGGCAGCGTTTGACTCTAGTATGCTTGCAAATGTAAAGTATGACATCTCTTGATTGGATTACGGACAAGTCTTTGGATTCGTTTTATTAGGATGATTACCAAATATATAACGCCTTTATTTTGATTGCTTATCCTTTTTTGCTTTTTCCAGAATACCGATCGTTGTTTTCAACATCTCGCTTATGTTATCAACAGAAGGTATATTCTGCATTGACTTGACTATGCCTGATGAATCCCTTGCGTTTGAATTGGCTATATTTACTTCATTAGCAATGGTTTTCATACCCTTCTGTTGGGGATCAGAATGATTATATAATTAGATATGCGGACAGGAAATAAAAGAAGGGGGGGAATCAAATGTAGCAATACCTTTTCCTCCACTATTTGAGGTAGCTTTTTATGAATATAGTCAGTGATACGATATAAGCCAAGTGAAGTGTCGTTCATTAGATATCGAGTACAGCTCTCTATATCTTCCGTGGCTGTATTAAAATACAGAACAAAACCAAATTCCTTTTATTGGCTTACTCTTTCCATTGAATTCGTTCAAATGTTGTTCCTCATACTCTCATCTTGCTTCCCACCTTTCTTTGCCATATCTCTCAAGGCTATTTCTGGACTTTGTGCATTAATGCTGGCACTACTACTCGTAGCACTGCCAGTAAGAAAATACAGCCCAGAAGGAGGTCCTTGATCAGATATTATGGATGATATGGAGGCAGTCAAAGAAGTTGCAAACGTTTCGACGTTGTGGGAGGGAAGGAGGCTTTCAGGTCGCAAGTCCATTACATTGACAGAAAGAATGATAGTGTTGCCGATCGGTTTGACAAATTAAAAAAATAATAATAATGACATGTGTTGCCCAAATAGATATATTTTAGTATAGTTTTTATATGGAGTATGCTATACCAGCCTTGTTGCTATGTCTTAGTCTTTTCACGCAATTTCTTCAACACAGGTCTTCAGGTGAAGTGTCTTCTTTATAAGGTCTTCTACTCTCGCCGACCTCCTGGCGTTAATATTAATGGTATTTTCATATCTAATAGCTGGTAAGTTTTGAAGAATTTACATTAAAGAAGTCTATAATAATAATGACCGAAACTGTCAATCCCCCCTTCTGTTTGAGACTGCAATAATCGGTATATTGTTTATTGACCCCGATTAGTTTATTTGCTTCATCACAGTCCTTTGAAGCACACAGCATGGAGCATGTCATGGCCATCCTTGCAAGAATGAACCAACTTTTTCCAATTACCATAATGCTTCTATGGATAATATCAATGCTAACCCTGTCAACATTCAATGCAAACTTAAATTTAGTTGTATTTATCAGGCTTTCAAAATTCCATCTCTCTGAAAGCTTTTCAGTCAAGCTAATACGAAAACGTCCTTCGTAGGTAAAAATTTCTTATCGTAGAAACAGCAATGCTCTTTCCTTCACCGAGTAGCTTGTGAATTTCAAACATCATTTTGTTAAATGAAAATTTTGGGTCTGATTTAATTCTTTCTTCGTATAATAGGATTAAGTCTTTCTGGTGGATGGTCACGTTGGCCAATTTGTTTCATCGATTTTCTGATTTATAATACGCAGGTGATTTTTGCGAATTTTATAATAAAGGAAAGATCCAAGAATTCCGATCAATAATTCAAGAATAAATTCGCTTGTGAGAACAAATATTTAAAATGATAAAGTCTGTTGTAAAAGCAATTTGTGTCGTTTTTATAGCAAAACCTTTTTTGAGTCACGTCATTAATGCGCGTAATCAACATGCGCGCATGGTCACATTGTGGAAACTGATCGCCATATTATATTAGATCAACGCTACTCCTATGGACTTGTATTCAGCGATCTCGCACCTTGCACTTACGGACGACGAAAAGGCGGATCTTTGCGCGTTCTTTACCAAGAATCCAGAGCAGAAACGAGACGCGGCTGCTGCTCTGGAAGTATTGAAAGATAACAATGTCAGGGTTCGGTATATGAAGGCCCTCTTGAAGCCGACAGAAGGTAACGACTTTGTGACTCGGGGCGTTGGGGACATAGAGTAATGTGTACGTAGTAAGCAAATGTTTGGTAAACTGTTTACGATAGCAAATTGTTTACCATCTATCTTTACCCATGATATTCATTCTTTTTGAACCTACGCGTAAGTATACTGAAACAAACTCTGGAAATTTGACGTTTCATTCTCATGCTTGTTTTGTATGACTAGAACCACGAGCCTCTATAAAAAAAAGAAAGGAGTTCAAAGTCAATGGTGTTATATATCAAGAAGAACGCTATCGGTACTACTTTGTGGATCGTACCGCAGACAATCAAATCTTGTTGGATCATATTATTGACGGTAATTTCGTGAGAATGTACGCACCACGGGCCTCTGGTAAATCTTCCCGTGTGATGCAAGCTATCGAAAGTTTGATGGAATTGGGTTTTAAATGCTATTAGTAAGTAAGATGTTTTTCCTTGACCAAAATATCTTATGTCAATAATTGTAACTGTTCTTTTGGTAGTGTAACCTTCGAAGATGTGCGCCTAGACAGCATAGATATTTTTATAAGACCCTTGGCACAGCTCTGGGACTTCGCTCTGAGTTTTGTACTTTCGAGGGTTTACGAAGAACGTTTTGGTCTGAAACGCAACGTGATAAGAATGTAGTTCTTTTCCTTGATGACTTTGATATGATCAGCTCCAAAAAAGCTGAAAAGGAGGTCCGCGAAGAGTGCTTAGCCTTCATTCGTGCCTTGAAAGGCCAACCCCGTTACATCGTCAAATCTGTTGTCTCCGTCGGAACCTTCGGGATTCTGTTGCTGAACCAGGAGGATCCGGAACTGTCTCCTTTCAATATTACTGATAGTGTCAGTGGAGATGGTTTTACTCAGGATCAGGTTGTAGATCTTTTCAAAGACTTTGTAACAGACCGAAATTTAAAAATTGATGAACAAGTCGTGGAAGATATCTTCCGTCTAACAAGAGGGTATGTATACTGTGTTAAATTGTTGCTTACTGTATTTGTATCTACTGGAGCTTTCAGTTTATTTCATTTTCAGACATCCTGCCCTAGTTTGCCTTTGTGGGCGAGCGCTTGACGGGAAATTCCTTGCTGAGGGGTTATATGAGTACAAGTTTCTGGACTGGCAAGCTTATGTTATCAATGAACTCTTAGGAGATGTAAAGGGTTATTCAACTTTCAGAAGAATGGTGGAAAATTTCAACCATGCACATGTTAATCCATCTGTCAAAGATGCTTTGAATCTTCTGCGTGTGTATTTTCTACCCAATTATAACTTAGAACTCCAAGTTAGCGACAAGAAGGAAATATGTTTGGCTTCATTTCTTGCTAAAGAAGGCGTTTTGAAAGTAGTAGATGAGAACACAAATACTTATGTAATATCCTCACAGCTTATGCAATCTCTGTTTATTCATTATGTTCTTCCCAATGTCTTCTCCTCAAAGCCATCATTTGAGCTCCCACGTTTTGAATCTGGACGTATTGATTGGCTTCGTGCTTTAATTATCGCAACCAGTGCATTTGAACCAGACCATATACGAATGGCAGCTCAGTTCTCTTTCAAAACGGCAGGGGGTTGTGTTAATGGAAACAATGACAAACATGTTCCTCGCGAGAGTGTTTACCAAGAACAGCTAGTCAGAATTTTGATAAATTGGCTTAGCTCGTTGAAATTCCATATCACAAGCCAAACTTGTGTCTATAAAGCAAGTACACAGCTCTATGTTGACCTGGTGATCACAGAACCTCTTTATAAAAAAACTGAGAAGAAATATGACAGAACTTCAAGTAAAGTACAGATCATCCCAGCCAGCATGCTCATCACTACACCAAATTCAACACTTCTTGAGCTTATCGCTTCATCTACTACAAGGGATCTGAAGGAGCACTATGCACATGCTCTGGATTATGCCAGATGCTTATCGCCAGTGTTTAAGTTTGCAGACATCTGGGTTGTTTATTTTAATTGCGAGGATGATGCTACTACAAAGCCGAATTGGCCGACTGAAGGTCAAGTTATAACTGGCTTGAACTGTGTTGTTTTTTGGCACAACCTAGAGTTCAGTGAAGTACGAATGACAGCACTTTTTAAGAATGAAGATGGGGAGGTGCGATTGGTGCGAGATACCCAGGTATATACTGATACCATTGTGATTGATTGTGAACCCTTCGTTAACTTCTAATGATATTGCTTGTTTAGATCATACCACTTCCATCAAATCTTGAGGACATTACTTCCGAACCATATCAGTTTCCTCCATGTCAACCCATTGAATATGATGAAGCTTATATCCCTTTAAATATCAATATATCGTAAAATTAATGTTGAAAATTTTATAGGAAATATTATCTCCCAATTGTAGTGCATATTTTCAGTATATTATTTATCATTATGTGAAGTCATAGTTTGAAGTCAACAATTACTTTCAAAATACAGCATTTAGTTTTTTTGTAATAACAAATAACTATTCAATGTGTATAGTGTTGGCTTGAATAGCGATAGGGTATAGGTATTAGACATGTTGATCTGTCAATGGTGCTGCTGCTAATAGGTTTCTCCTTTATATTTAAACCTCCGAGGAACTTAGGCAGATGCAAGATTTTTTGATGTGGGAATTGCTGATTAGGGATGTACAGGGATCATAACGGGCAAGAAACATTCTGCTCAAACTGCTGAGTCAGGGCAACTGATGCTGTGGCCTACCACCCTTGACCCTGACAACAGGTTTGTTGTATAAAGATGCGTTTTTTCTTGTAGGAGACCTTATAGTAATATATTCTACTCGTATGATATTTCGTCCAATGTTAAATTCAATTTATCATTATCATTATAATACGTCAAAATACATTATTTAAGTGAGCGATCAGGACCTAGTCCATCTTCATTCATTTTACGTGAATACCAATCTCTTCATCAGATTTTCTTATACTGTTGTTTTCCTTGCTCACTGACACACTAAACTGAATATAAATGGTTCAACCAGCTCTATTTTCAGTTTCGATTTTGTTACGGCAAGCTGATCTGATGAATCAGATAAGTTAGTCACATGATAAAATCTTCCTCCGCAGTTAAACAAA